ATGATCCCCTTTTGTGACCTTCCGGCAAGCAAAGTCAAAGGGGAAGCCAGATTCGATGATCATTTGGCCCCGCCCGCCCTCCCCTGCCCTAGTCTGTCCTATATTTCCGTGTTTTGCAGCCCAGCTGATTCGCACGGCACCGCAGATTGCAATGCCTCAGCTGTTTCACTCACCGGGGCTGCAGCAGAAGGCAAGTTTTAGAGCTGAAAACGGGCGGTTTTCAAATGCTGCGTGCGCGCGCAAAGTGTGCACTTACCAAACCAGTTGTTACACTGGTCGAATCCCACCCCTGCTTAACCTGCAGTGATTCACTTAGCACCTGGGGAGAGAAAGGTCGTAAGATGGAGCAAAACCCACTCAACAACGCTTAGCCATGCTTAGAAACGTCAGGCATAATGGGTGGCCATAATTCGAGGACTTCCTGTAGTAGTGGAGAAGTAAGGAGACGGTTACTTTCCTGGTGTGGAGACAATCACTTGGTTCTCAACATCAATGAGAACAAGGAGCTTATAACGGACTATAGAAGGAACAGATCCGACATCGGAGCCATTGTTTATCAATGGAGACCGAGTAGAGCAAGTGGCCAGATTTAAGTTTCTGGGGTGTTCCCATCAAAGAGGACCTGACCTGGGGGTGCCCACATTGCAGGACTGGTCAAAAGGGCCCAGCAGAGATTATACTATCTGAGGCTTCTCAGGAAACAACAACGGAATGAAAAAGTGCTGGTGACCTTCTACCGCTGCACCATAGAGAGTATCTTAACTTACTGCACCTGTGTCTGGTTTGCCAATTGCACAGTGGCAGATAGGAAAGCGCTCCAGAGGGTGAACGTCATTGCCCAGAAGATCGTTGGTTGCCCTCTCCCCTCTTTGGAAGAGCTTTCTAGCTCCTGCTGCCTTAAGAAAGTTCAAAATGTTCTCAAAGATCCATCTCATCCTGGGTACCCTTTTTTTTGAACTATTACCATCTGGCAGACGGTACAGGATAATAAAAACAAGGACAAATAGGCTGAAAAACAGCTTCTATCCCAGGGCAGGAACTCCATTGAATTCTACTGTATAGTGCAATATTCATGCAATACCAAGGGTTTTCAATTCATTTGTATAGAATGTGAAGGGTGTGTGTTTGTGTTTATTTTCATAGTCATAATGTACACTGAAAATGGTATTTAATTTTGTTGTACGAGGTGCCATGACAAGAAAGTAAACTAAACTTAAAAAAAAAAAACCTACCAGGTGAAGTGTAGGTAACTGGCTAAAAAATGTTGACTGCAGTATTTCCTTTTCCTTATTCCTTGGAACTCAAGTTCGACGTTGCTAAACGCTGACAATTATTGTTCTTGGACCAAACATTCTTCCTTTCTTGCGTTTGGTGTGTTGGAGAATTTATTTAACTTTGGAAGGTGCCAGTTAAAACTTCCAATGTGTTTGACCTTTCGGAGTCAAATAATACAAAATAGTATCTTTTGGACTCTTTCCCAAGCAGAGGGAAGCCAGAAATAGATTTCACGTTCACCCCTGTACAGGTAGCCTTTGACTGACAGCTGTTTTGTTTAGTGGCCATTTGAAGTTAGAATAGCACAGGAGGAGGGAAGAAAAAAAGGATTGATGCGGAAAATAAAAAGATGTAAAATCAGATCTGGCCATAGAATGACTTGCTTTACAAACTATCCCGACTTATGACCAAAATCGTGTTTCTCGCTTATGGTTGTAAGTTGAGAGCTATTTGTAAAATAAGGGCAGAGAAGGAATCCTCAGCTTATGACTGCAGCTGGGCCCAGGTGAGACAGTTGTTAAATGAATTTGATTTTCAGCACAAAAGTGTGATGACCCGGGGCATAGCACAAAGGCAACACTGTCAGATAATCAGTAGGAGTCCCTTTATTAGTGCCAACTTTGCCCCCAATGTCCTGGCTACCTTCTGGCTGGAGAAAAACTCCCCCAGGAGCAGGCTTTGGTTGCAGAGAATCAAGTCCAAAACCTAGTCAACAAAAACTGTAACTTAGTCCAATCGAGGCAAAATGAGGTCATTAGTCTGATTGGGCAGGCGCAAGAATTCCAGACTTCCAGAGATGAAAGCATGGCAATAACACAACGTGGTTGTGGAGACGCCAGGAACACAGATAAGCAAAGTCAACACAAGACAAACTCACGTTTGCTCCCAGCAGCTGCCGCATTTATCATGCATCACTTTTAAACTTTCATTCCTAGGTGTGGTTAATGAAGGGAATCAGGGCCCTTTCCTCCCCTGTAAGCCACGCAACTAATGTTGCTCCCTTCTTCATTCCTTCCTGCGTGCCCTAGGATAAAGAGGGGATGGGCCTGGGTCTTCCTCTGAACTCCCTCTCCCTTGTTCTATCTCTCCCTTGTTCTACCTCTTCCCTGCTCTGCCCAGTCAGACTTTGCCGTTCCCCAGTTTCCTCCACAGCTAACGGAGCCACACTCCTACTCCCTATCAGCTGTTTTGTCTTCCTCCTCGGATTCAGAATCCGACAGGGGCATGACACAAAAGTAAAAGAAATATCTCTTTGTGGATTTCCCCAAGCAAGGAACTGTGGGAGTGTGGGGGGGGAACCAATGAAATACATCCTATAACCTGGGAAATACAGGGGTAGTCCTCGGGTTATGACCACACAATTGAGTCTAACATTTATGTTGCCAAGTGAGACGTTTGAATTTCACTCCATTTTATGAACTTTCATGTCATTGTTAAATGAATTGCTGCCGTGGTTAAATTAGTAACATGGCTGTTAAGTGAGTCTGGTTTCTCCATTGATTTTGCTTGTCAGAAGGTCGCGAAAGGTAAATGCTGTGACTCCAGGGACAATGCAACTGTCATAAATGCAAGTCAGCTGCCAAGTGTCTTGAGTTTCGATCACGTGAGCGTGGGGGTGCTGTAATGGTTGTAAGTGTGAAAAACTGTTGTAAGTCACTTTTTTCAATGCTGTCCTAATTATGAATGGTCACTGTTTTAAGTTGAGGGCTACCTGACCATGTTGGTGTGGATGGAGTATGTAAGGTAAGAAAAGAGGCATTGTCCTCTGGATTTCAACTCTCGGGCAGAACGCTTCAGCATGGGTCTCTGACAATTCACTTCGGCCAACTCACAACAGTCAACTTGTCATGGCAAAACTTACAGTGGTCAATTTGCCATGGCCCAACTCACCACGGTCAACTCACAATGGTCAACTCGCCATGGCCAACCCACAATGGTCAACTCGCTATGGCCAATTCACAACGGTCAATTGATCATGGCCAACTCAGTGGTCAACTCACTACGGCCAACTCACAATGGTCAATTTGCCATGACCAACTCACAATGGTCAATGGCCAGTGGTCAATTTGCCGTAGCCAATTCACAATGGTCAACTCGCTATGGCCAACTCACAATGGTCAATTCGCCATGGCCAACTCGCTGCAGGAAAACTCACTGCAGGACAAGGGTTACACTGATATCAAATAAATGGTGGAATAGATTGATTAAAGGAAGGTTTGCAAAAGGAGGGACAAAATGAACGACAAAAATTAAAACCATTTTTTAAATTCTAAATAATTACATCGAATTGATCAGTTGTCCTGCGTCGAGTGGCCATGACAAGTCCTCCCACGGTGAGTTGGCCGTGATGAGTTGGCCTCAGTGTGTTGGCTGTAGCAAGTCGTCCCATTCCGTCCAGAGTGTATCCCAAAGAAAGGGCAGAGAAATGGCGTCTTCACATCGAATTGCACACTTTTTCTCTCACACACACACAAACCCAGGGAAACACACGGGGGGAAAAAAACCCTTTGTCTGTTCCGATGGTAGAATTTCCTGTCCCTAATCTTTGCCATCTGCTCCGTCTTTCCTGGCTTTTGCCAGCAGCTCCGTCAGAGCTAGGAAGGATCGGGGTGGGGTGGGGGGGTGGGGTGAGGGGGGGGGGCAGGAGGACTGAGACTTTGCCACAAGAAAGAGGCCAATGAAACAAACCTAAGACGATGCAAATTGCTGATCTTCTTCTCTCGGCTTAGAAAGAGCTGCAACCGCAAGCGTGTAACTCAAGCTGTTTACCGGCGTTGTTACCTCCAGACAGCCGGGGTTACACCCTGGTGATTATCCTGATTAACAGTGGCACCTCCGGCAGTCAAAGGGGACTCACAGGTTATCTAATTTTAGAGGATCACAGAAGAACTCCGTGGCTGGTTCGTCCTGGAAAACCATGGTTTAAAAGAGACAGGCCACTCTTTGGAAGACAACAAAGCCCATATTTTGTACAGAGGGGATGGCTGGTTTGAAAGAAGAGTCGAAGAGGCCACCTAGGTCCAAATTATACAAACAACTAGGCACAAGCACACACACACACACACACACACTGCATGCCATGACTTGCTAAACAACTAATTCCCCCAACACTGTCAAACTTTTTACCAAGACTGTATTATGGTGATTTTTCTCATCCTTCCTATTACCTGTCTCCTTCCCCTGATGACTATAATCGTGTTGCTTGTGTCTTTAGGATTTATTTAGTTTCCTAGGATGATTTGATTGCTTATTTAGTATCTTATGACTATCACTAAGTGTTGTATCTTATACTTGTTGATGGATGTATTTATTTTATGTTCACTGAGAGCTTATGCACTGAAGACAAATTCCTTCTGATTCCAATCACACTTGGCCAATGAAGAATTCTACTCTACTCTACTCTACTCTACCCTACCCTACCCTACCCTACCCTACCCTACTCTACTCTACTCTACTCTACTCTACTCTATGGAAATAGCCTTCAGCACTGCATTCTAGCCACTGCGCCACCATGGCCCATATCTTGTCAAACGCGATGCAGTTCTCACCAATTTTAGTAAGAACATTTAGTAAGGACAAAAATGATCACTGGGTAGTACACTTCCCACTCATTACCTATTAAATGGAGCCTCACAGCCAATCTAGCACTGACCTGCCCCGATTTAATTTAAACATGTTTGAGAAACCTTTCACGTTTCTTAACCTGCCTTTCGTTTGCTTCTTAGGCTACAGAGTCCTGGCAATAGAGCTGTTTTCTAAAAACATCAATCCGGTGGTGGAAGAATTTCGACGTAAGTGTGTGGTGAGCGGAAGAGCATAACCATATCCTACTCAGTGTCTGGCATGGCTCCCTCTCCACAGCCATGTTTGGGGGTGTGTGTGTGTGAAAAATCCAGTTGCATCGGGAAGACACGACCTTGTTCCGCCTTAACCCGGCATCCGTCTCCACTTCGCCTTGTGACGTCTGTTGTGTGTGTGTGTGTGTACGTGTGTGTCTTTGCAGAGGCCGAACTGTCCTGCATTATTGCTGCCACCAAAACAGCGAATCCCAGGATTGAATGGAAGAAAATCGGTAGCCAAGGCACAACCTATGTGTATTATGACGGGAAGGTGCAAGGTAGGGAAGCTTCTGGAAGCTCTCTCCGGGGCTTCAGGACCTCATTTGCGCTGGGGGGTGCCCAAGATTTAGGAGCAATTTTGGAAGGCGTGCTGGTGGGGACCAGAGGTGATATTCAGCGGGTTCTGACCAGTTCTGCAGAATCACCGGTAGCGGAAATTTTGCGTAGTTCGGAGAACCGGCCAATACCACCTCTGACTGGCTCCGCCAACCCCATCTCTTCTCTGCCTCCCGAGTCCCAGCTGATTGGCTGGGTCTTCTTTGGTCGCCCTGCACAGGAGAACGGAGCTGGAAAGCAGGTTAGTGGGATGGGAAGGGAATGGGGATTTTGCAGTAACCTTCCCCTGCCACGCCCACCAAGCCACGCCTACCAAGCCTCGTACACAGAACTGGTAGTATAAAAAAAATTGAATCCTGCCACTGGTGGGGGATCTGTACTTTCTTCTCCACTTCTGCCTAAAATCATCTGAGCTTTGTTAGGGACAAGTGGTGGCATTCTACCAGTTTGGCTGAACCAGTAGCTCCAGTGATCATCTGTGAGCGAACCAGTTGGCTCCGACGATCGGTTGCTGGGCCCTCCCACTCTCCCCGCCTCTATACGGTCCTTTATTTCCTAGTTTTGAAGCTCAGCTGTTTTGCGTGGCACGGCTGCTGAACACACAAGGGAGAGTGCGGGATTTGCAGGAGAAGGTCAGTAGGAAACCCTCTTGAGTGTGGGCCAAGCATGCCCACCAAGCCATGCCCACTGGACCGGTGGTTAAAAAAGAGTTGAATCCCACCACTGTCAGGGACATCCAGAAGCCGTGGAGGGTTGTTTTGCTGAGTGTTTAAAATGAAGGTGCTGTCATGCCCCTGTTGGAATCTGATTCTGAGTGGGGAAGTGGAAAAGCTGACAGGGAGTGGAAGTGTCACTCTGGTGGCTGGGGAGGAAACTGGGGAAGGGCACAGTCCAGCTGGGCATTCAGAGGAAGACCCAGGCCCACCCCCCTCTTCATCCTAGGGCACACAGGAAGGAACGGAGAAGGGAGCAACATGGCTTACGGGGGAGGAAAGGGCCCTGATTCCCTTCATTAGCTGCAGCTGGAAAAACAGAATATAAACTTTATATTATAAAGGGTGATTGCACACAGCATCTTGCTGGAAGCAAAGCGTGCATTATCTTTGTCGAGGCTTTGTTGAGGTTGTAGAATGGGGCAAAGCTCATCCGAAGAACCGTCTCACTTAGCAGTGGGACATGTTGGGCTCGGTTATGGTCGTAAGTGGGGGACTGCCTGTATGCTAGGGTCTTCAGTCTGCCTGTCTCCTCTGCTTCTCCTCCACCCTTAGGGGAATGGGTAAACCGGGTGCAACTCATCAGCAGGACGTCCCTGACCATCTACAACGTCACCCGAGCTGATAAAGGGATCTACCGGTGTGAGGTGGTAGCTCCCGATGATGCCATCCTCGGTGCAGAAATCAACGTTAACCTAACGGTTCACGGTATGTTTCTCGATAAACCTGGATTAAGCCTCATGGGCCATGCCTGTTTCCCTTGTATAGGAACCCAGAGTGGAAAGCAAGTTTTTAAAGAGAGTGTGTGTGTGTGTGTGTGTGTGTGTGTGTGTGTCAGAGAGAGAGGGAGAGAGAGAGAGAGAGAGGGAGGGAGAAAGAGACAGAGGAAAAGAGCAAAAAAAAGAGGAAGAGGAAGAGGGGAAGAGAGAGGGAGGGAGAAAGGGGAAGAGAGGGAGAGAGAGAAAGAGAGAGAGAGAAAGAAAGAAAGAAAGAAAGAAAGAAAGAAAGAAAGAAAGAAAGAAAGAAAGAAA